ATCGCTCTTGGAACTTTCCCCATACGACCCGCCTTGTCGTGGTTTTGCGAGGTCGTTCTCGAGCTCTGCTTGCTCTGCAGTATGTGTCTGTGCTAAATCCAAGATGCCCTTGGCGCCGCAGTCACAAGCCACTCTGGCAGCGAAGACTATCTGTCTCTATGTGGTCCTGGAATATCAGCGAACTGTGAAGCCAGACTAGCATGGCAGCAATGCAATCGCACTGTGAAACGGTGGAATCAGGTAAGCGTGGACCAAAAAAATGGGTTGGAATGGATCGACCGCTTAGTGCACAAGGTGCCCGAGAGTTGGGAGAAGCGTTGAGTAGCGGGTCGCTCATGACGTTGTTACGCGTTGTAAAGTCGAGAGACATTGAACCGTTTTGCCTCCATTGAAAAATATCGGCGGCATCCGTATTGCATGTGTATGACTGAAGGATGAGCGGAATGGATAGAAGAGCAGCATATTGGTCCCGGGCGTCTTGCTGCACGGATGGATCGAAGACTTCGCGGGGTACAGCATGAGACAACCCAGATGAAATATTTGATTTCGTGTTTTGCTTGATGTCGGTGCTCCTAGGCGGTGTCTGGCGATGATATCAGCACATGCCTGATGTAATATTGCGTTTAAGTACTAGGAACGTTCAGAGCTGAACGCAGCTCGCAGATGCAGCTCGCATCACGCATAGCCATCAGCTTATATAACATTGATTTAGAAGACTGCCATGTTCTCAGAGATGGAGAGGCGACCGTTAGGTGACACGCTTGGCCTCGTTATGGGAGATACAGCAGAGTGGTCAGAGGCAAAAGCATACTGGGAAGCTAAATTTGAGCTAAATGCCGAAGGAGGGATGTGGAGGGTTGAACTATGATCGTGTCGCGACTCTTCGGCAAATTCGGGGATCCATAGAGCTACTGCCGTCGACAATCGAAGTTTGAGCCTAGACATCGAATCTCTCCATCCATTTGAGGAGACTATTGGTATTTGGCTGACGGCGAGCAGCACATTGTATTCCTGAGAACCTCATTCGCTGATTCAGATTGATTGGATTTTGTACAATGCCATAGCTCACGACATGGTTGGCAACATGAAACATGTCCTCCAGCATTCGCACAACCCACAAGCAGATAAACATGTCGTCAAAGCGTTTGGTAATAACGCAAATATCCCGGAGTGTCATTGCACTCACAACACACTCCACGAAGGAAGACTCAAAATCCCCACTGCCGATGCCGTCGGCACAGGTTTTGGTTCCACCGACATGCATGCCGGACACGTCGCAGTCGGTTTTGCCTTTCATTCCCGGCTCACCACCGATAAAGAGAGGGCGGGAACAGTGATTTACGAAGGGCGCTGTGGACCATTTCAGTGCTCATACAGGTAGACCCCACGGTGCTTCAGAAAGAAGACCCCCGGATCACGTTGGGTGTACGGATGAAAGGCCTCCACAAACGTCAAATGATCTCTCTCTGAATTCTTATATCTTCAAGACGCGGATAGCCATTTGGATCTTCTGAAGAACGAAAACTCAGCAAACTTGTACCATAATGCTGATGCATACCGCGTGTTCGCTGAATCGTGTTCACGGAGGTTGAGACGCCCATTTGAGGAGACGGACCCAGTCAAGGTAGGTGGCGTCTAAAGTTTTGTCCAGACAGCAGATTTAGAATCACGTTACAGCGAGAATATCTCATTAGTCGCAATTCTCATTGCACTGAAGCAGCCGCTCAAGGTAAATCGCCTGCAGAAAAGCACAATGCACCAGCTGTCCACCACAATGCGCCGCCTGCTCATCACAATGCACCCCCTGCCAAACATGCCCCCGCACCGAGGCAGCAGCATAAGAAACGGTTGATGTAATGAACTGTAATACTTCTTCGTCTATATGTAGCTGGAATAAATTATATACATGGTGCGTGAATCAGATATGTATATCATGTATCCTCGAAACGAGTACTAGCACTTGTGTTGGCGTGAGACGGAGTGACGTTGTATAGGTGCGCTTGTTTCCAAGTAGTAGCCAAAAGATATCGATCTGAAGTAATCCTGAGGGAGAGGGATCCAGTATGAAATATAGTGCGATCGGATCGGACAAAGTGGTACTCAGTTGATATGATTCTGACCAAATTCATTCATTGCAAGTGGTGTTACTACTGTTCCTTAAACTCAATCCACTTCACTCTGCTAATGACTCGGTAGGAATGACTGACTAAATGGTAGAGCAACTGAAAGAACTGGCTTGGTCGTTGAAGTTCACGGTGGTGGCCGTTCCCGGGACGGCGAAAAAATTCCAGTCTCCGCCTTGCAACACAACATCTCCTCCGCCCTGAGGTGCAATACACCCCGCTGCACTGATCGTTATCAAACGGTGAGATTCCCAAGGGTTAACACCATGTAAGGAAAAAGGTCACTCACGTGAAGAAGGTGCAGACAAAACCGTCTGGGATCCTGGCATTGGATACCTCCTTGTTCAAGAAGCTGAACCCTCCGGTGAAACTGGTGCAAGTGTCGGATCCGACAGGGATGGTTACACATCCGTTCATGGGGGCGAGGGTGCCAGTGCAGACTATCACGTTCTCGGTAATGTCCTATAGGTTTCCCAAATTACGTTCAGTTTTGGAAATGGAGTGGAGCAGTTTAATTCTGAACGCACAACGTGTCTCGCGTTGAGCTCGAGAGGTACCGCGGATGTGAGTACAACACTGGCGAGAGTACCGAGAAGTTGAGTGTTGAAGAATTTAAACATGGTGTAGAATCTGGTTGTCTGAGGTTTAGTCGTACGAGCTGTGAAGAGCATATGCAGCAGGTATTCAACCTTTATATGAGAGCGCACAAGATGTGTAAATGGCGTTCAAGTACAACTCCGGCGCTTTTCGAACACCGTACGCAGTATGAGCACTCATCCATGATATCTTTGACTGGACGTAACGACTTGAGATCAAAGAAGCATTCACAACAGAGAAGCAACAAATGTCAAAACACCATTGAATCAATGCTGCGCTGACAGAAGAATTAGAGGACCTTGTCATCTCTTGCGCCAAACTCCGTAGATAGAATTGAGCGAGCGTCTCAAACATCTGGAGGGATTGTTGCAAGTGCAGGTGGGGCTTGCAAAGACTTTTACCTTTCCTCTACCTCTACGGTTTTGAATGAAAGATATAAATAGGTCACATTTGACAGTGCGAGAGATCTAGGTCGGAGGCAGCACTCATCTAACGAGCTCAAAGAGGTTGCAGCAATCCGTGGCACACCGGGTACCATACGCGGGCTATATAAATAAAGACGGTTCTGACCACAAGAGTTACTAAGTATAACATTGCTTTCCGGGATTAGAAGCCGCCGGTCATTCGGGCAGGATTGCTTCGATCTCACCCAGGATTAATTCGGCAGGATAGGACGAGCGTCAAGGACAAAGTGAAAGCTGTGATTAATCGGACGAGTGGTGCACACATGCTGCATCAAGACATGAAGGAGGACAGTGACCAAAGGTCGGAGGGATAAGGAGCAATGGCCTGGAGCAAGACACAACGTACGGCATTAGCCTCTCGGTAATAACAAGATTCCTCTTGACTTGGGTACGAGCTCCGAATTACCAACTCAAGAGGAGTCTTGTAATTACCGAGAGGCTAATGCCATACGGTGTATCTTGCTCATTATTTGAAATGCTCTGCAGGAGGAGTGAACGTTAAATTGATAAGTGACGTCATGACCCATTTCGAGCACGTTATAACCTCGGCAACCCCGACATTCATCCAAACCACACCCATACTTACTGCAACCACTTATTACTCACTATACCATGTTCTCTCTCATTCGCGCCCAACGAACAACCACAACACTCCGTATTCAACCCACCATCGCCTCTTTCCAGCGCCAAAAACACACCACCGACTCCTACTCCAAAGAAGTCGACAGCACCCCCGCACCCGACAAAAGCGTGCACCGCGTCGACCCCAATTCGGATCTCGTCCAAAAGCCGTACGAGGCGCCCTCGGGCGAATGGAGTCGCGCGGGAGTGAAAACGGACGAGTATAGGAGCGTGGAGGGGGAGAAGGAGCCGTATGCGCCGAAGGGCGGCGATCAGGCGTCGCGGTATGGTGCGAGACCTGAGTTGAAGGACGAGAAGGGCAAGGAGACCAGTGGGAGTGAAGAAGGCCCCGAGGGAAAAGCAAGTCAGGGAAGAGGAGGAAAGAAGTAAATGGTATGCTTGGCCAATTAAACGAGGATGATTCGTACAACCTTTTGATTCTGATACCTCAATGCAGATCTGTATTCGCTCTCCGAATGCATCAGGGACTGTTGCTGTAATCTTAAGTTATGAAAATAACACACATGTATGCTGTAGCCATCACTGTAAATCATCTTCCACCGCCCCATTCTGTTCACCAAATCAGTACCGTTCCATCATCAAACTTAGTTTCGTTCATCTCGCTCATGTTGATAACGACGCTTCTCTACGCTCTTCCCCTTCTGATAGGTTGAAACCGACATCTATCGCACAAACAACGTTGAGCGACGGGTCCACGCTTGAACCTTCCAAACCACGATTGTTCTGGGTGCATGTATGCATCATCTCGTCTTCCCGAGCCTTCGGCGTAGTTTTCAGACTTTAAACTGCCTCTGCAAGCGATCCGAAGCTCGCAAGGACATCTAGGAGGAATTGATAGGTCGCTCCCATGTGGGAGAGGACCTAACCTTCCCCTTAATGCCTTTGACGCCAGCATTTGCGGACAGGAGGGGAAGGCTGCCAAATAGACTCATCGGGCTGCAGATCTCTCGACTCTGTAATGGTATGGTTAGTGGCTGCAGGTACCGTAGCGGCCCATATATCTCCGTTGGGCAAAATGTATCGTTGAGCTTGTTGGATAGGGTAAGGATTCATGGGATCGTCATTGTGCTCGAACGAGTGCATGAGTTGTCACGCTGCCAAACTCTTCGCAAAATGTATGCGCCTGTCCATATGTCGTACAACACAAATCGGCCACTATCAGAGAGAGCAAAAACGACGCCAGCAGGATTTGAACCTGCGCCCTCAAAGAGGAACAGATACTTAAGGTAGCACGTATGCGGATATATTCGAATCTGTCGCCGTAACCACTTGGCTATAGCGCCTGTTAAAGACTCAGGCATCATGATCACCTGGTATCAGCATAGGCGAGGGAAAGCACAGAAGGTTTTGAATGGAATGGAATAATTTTCGCTAACTACGTTACGTAAGTAACTCAGGTATGTAAGCATACCTCGCCAGCATTGTAAGTGAGTGAGTAAGTAGTAAGTATCGTTAAGGCTAGAATAGGAATAGTAGTAGTTAGGTTAGGCGAAGGTAATCGATAAATTATGGTAGGAGAGGGAAGGAGGTAAAATACGGGCAAGATGGGTAGGTAGTGTGATCGTGTTTTGTACATGAGAAGGACATTGTTGAGCCAGGTTGTTATTGAAGTAGTGCCAACGGACTGTTCCCCAGATCTGTCCCGCTAGTCTGATGGCCGTAGCGTGGCATTCGTGAGCGATGCGTGTGTGGCTCGTTTGGTCTGAAAATGTTGGAGGTAATAGAGGTGGTAGGAGACCAAGGTAATATAATGAGCGTTGGGCCGGCCATGTATGGGAATCAGAGAACAGGTGTTGTACCCGGTCTCCGATGATTTTCCGGTCAGCTGGTGATGATTTGGACGCTTGAAGGATATGTGTCACGGACGAAAGCAATTCGTTCGTGCGTGAAGATCTCAAAGATCGAAATTGTTGACAGGTGACGAAGATATGATGGGCGTCCTCGAAACACAGGCAACCGAATCGGCACCAAGGTTGGCGATCGTCGTGTAAGCGGGTGTATTGTGATAGGCTTGTGTCCAGCTGGCCCGATCTGGCGTAGAGCTGAATCACTGCCGAGTACGATGAGATTGCTTTTGTATATGGGAATGGGGGTGGGGGAGTCATGTCGAAGCACGCTTTAGAAGGTCTTGGCTCGTGGTAGGTGTCTAGTCTCTGTGCACAAAGATGGGCAAGCTGGTTATCTACAAATGAGGAAACGTTGGACTCGATGAAGCCTAATGAGTCAGAGAAAGGAATGTAAGTGTCCATGAAGAAAGTAGGTAGAGGAAGGGTCGGAGGTGGAAGGGCTACAAGGTTGGATTTGGAGGCGAGGTGGTCTGCAAGACGATTCATTTGGGATTCAGGAGACTGAGAGGTGGTGTGGGCGCGGACGTGGGAGAGTGAGGGACGGGTTGTTGTAGATTGCCAGATGTTGAGGATCCAACGGTACATGGAGCGGGCTGGGTTGATTTTAAGGGAGAGGGTGGTTGTATTGCATGATAGGGTGCGGACGGAGTTTAGGTGATCGGTCAAGATGGTGGTTTGGGTTGGGTTCCTTCGTGCGATGATTGATGCTGCTGCAATGGCATAGGTTTCGCCGTGTAAGATGCCGATGGACAGATATTGAGGTAGGGAGGCGACAAATGCATTGTTGTTTGCAACGACGGCGAAGGTGGTGGATTTGATGGGTTTGAGTTTGGTGGATGCGTCAGTGGCGTAGAGATTGGGAGGGGCGTGATGAGGGAAGGCGGTGGACTGAGAGGCAAGGGCAAGAATGGCTGCTTCGGCATTTTGTTGTCTTACTTGGCGGCGGGTGAGAAGGGAGGGGTCAGGGAAGGCGAGTATGTCAAAGAGGAGAGGGAGGGATCGGGTCCATTTGAGTAATAGTGGAAGGTCGCGGTTGAGGCAGGGAGTAGAGGTTGGGAAAATGAGGGGAAACGGGGTGAAGTTGAATGTTGTTGTTGATTGTATGTTGTTAAGGGAGAAGATGCCGGATTTGGATAGTGAGTGGTGATTATGTTTTTCGAAGTTTGTCAGAGTTCTGGACGGGATTTCGCTAAGGTGTGGTTGATAGACTCGAGACAAATTATAGAGATGTTGTAAAGAGACATCGCCGGAGGTTAGATAATGAAGGTCTGTTGAAATAAAGGAGAGTTTTGTAAGTGATAATACATTTTGAGCGAGTGCCCAGGTAAACGGAATGAATGTTAAGCGAGATGGAGGTAATAAGGATGTTGTGTAGGGCTTGGAAAGGAGGCTGAGGCACCGGTTATGTTTGCAGGTCCAGTCCGCAAGGGAGATCTGGGCCATCTTGGCGAATGAGGGGAGATGGTGATTGAGATCGCGGCTTAGGCCTGCAACGGATAGGGAGGAGTTCATGCGTGCAATTGATGGGAACCCTAGTCTGCGGAGGTCAAGCGGAGTGGACATGATAAGAGACTTGAAGCGGAAGGGAAAGGCAAGATACTTGTGGACCTTAAGTGCTATAAGGTTGTCGAGGGTGACAGCGCATTGGTTTGTTATTGGTTGCAATGCAAGATGGGGCCGGATCTTTGAGATCAGATTTTGGGTGATGATTCTCTTCAGAAGAGTGAGTGGGAAACGACGGGAGGAAGAAGGGAAAGAAAAATTAAGGATTATGTCACGTAGAATCAGGAACTGCAAGTTGGGCTTATTGATGGGAACACATAGGAATGTGGTGTGTGAGAGAATGACGGGCACGTCATGCCAGGAGATGTTATCGGCTTCAGGGTCTGAGTAGTCCACCGATGGCATTCGGGCGTCGGAATTGGTGGGAGGCAGAGTGTTGTAAACATAGAGCGCGCTTTTACGCCACTCGGTTTCCCATCCATAGGTAGCCTGGAAGCGGTCAGCATCACAAGCCATTAATTTAAGGGATGAGAGGTCAGATGAAGGGATAAGGGAATCATCCATAGCTTCCACCATGGATACCTCAAGTTCAATACGATCCGCTGGAGTATGGGGGATGCGCTTTTGTTCGAAGTGGGATTGTATTGAGAGGGAGCCCGGAAATTGGTTTTTGTTGTCGGAGATCCATCGATTGCATAGGCTGGTGGTTAGGGTGCATTTTAGGGGGGACAGGGAACCACCTTGCTTGGTGACGCCGTTAACAATGAATGAGTCCGTGAATCCATAAGCCGTTTTGACCCGATATGGTACCAGGTGTTGGGATGATTGATCTAGTTGGATGATTTCGTTGGGGAGTCCGTATGCCTTAACAGCGTCATAGAAACCGGATGGTTCTAACATATCAAACCCCTTCTTCTGGTCCCGCTGAAGGATGTATAAGGGAATGTGTTCCCGATCGGCCCAGAGCTGGTATTGACTGATGAAAGATATGAGGTTGCGGCCCTGAGTGCCCGGTTGTGTCGCCACCTGGCCCTCCGGAATGACGCCGTGGTTTGTGAGATATGGGGTGAGCAAGTGGTTGAGCCACGCAAATGGGAGGTTTAGCAGATAGTTGTTGCATGCGATACCTCTGTAATTGGACAAAGAGGTGTTTGGACCTCGTTTGTGGATTGTGGATATATTAGTCGGTTTGATACAGGAAGGAAAGTGAGAATTTGAAATGATATAGTTTACCAAGTTAAGGACGGTATTCAGGGCGTGGTCGCTAAGGTGTTTGACAAACCACTTTTCCCATCGGTCCGGACCTGGCGTTGGTCGGGCGTTGCCCTTACTCAGGAGATGGCGTAGGTTATCGAGGTCGAGTAATTTAGGCCAGCAGAACGGGTCGGTTGAAATGGAGTGGGCGACGCTTTTGACGGACGGGGTGTTCATCCAGGGTTTTGACTGTGACGGCCGAGGTGTGCGATGGTAAAGCTTTTCGAAGTAGGTGACCGTGGCTGACTTTATTGCGGCGGGGCCGGTCAGGATTGTATCTGGGTTGCGATCGTAGTCAGGGGTTATGGCCAAAGGGAGAGCGGAGATTCTGTGGTGGAAAAGGCCTTTGGCTGAGCTGCCGCGAAGAACGTTGTAAAAATGGCTGTTAGTTCGGTTATCGTCCTGTCTTTTGCGCTCCTCACGCTCCTCCGCAAAACGCAACTTGTTCAGCGATTTTCGGATGTTCGTAAGAAACTGGCGAAGGTGCGGCCGGAGGTCCGGGTTTTGTGTCGCATTCGGAACCGTGTTAAAGAAGATTTTTAGGTACTCGTTTACCCATGGGGTCTGTGGCAGGGGAATTGTCCGGGGATCTTGCGATCGGGCCAGAGCACCTAGTATGCGGTTGATTCTACGGAGTTCTCGGCATACCAGGGCAATGGTCGGGTTCGTGATCTTTTCCTTAGACCTGAAGGAAGGTTTTGGCGTTGTGAATGATGAATTAGCTGCTGTAAGTAGGGCCTGTGTGAGGTTCGAATAACATGACTCAAATTCGTCATCAGATGTTATGTTAGTAGATTGTGGATTGGGTAAGCACGAAGATAGGAGTTCGTCCACCTTGGAAGTGAAAACGGCCAGGCGATATCGTTCAAAACGGCCCGGGTGGCGAAATCTTGGGGCATAGGATGAGGCCGGCAGTTCATTGGGAATGTCAGTGTTGCTGTGGGTTGATGCCGGGGCTGAAAGGAGGATTCGAGTATCAATTGGGCGGTGGTCTGTACACGGTATGAAATCTTGAAGAACAGTGATTGACCCTGAGAGTGTTCCAGAATGAGACACTGCAGAACGGTTGATAATGCTGATGGACAAGGCTGTTGTGTCAGTCTTCCGGGAACGATGTGTGTACTGGCGATTAAGGTCGGATTGGGTTTGAGTTTGCCATAAGTCGATAGCGTCTGTCAAATTTAAAAAATGTGAGTATGCAGCCCGAGATGGTGAAACATATGACGCTGGGGAAGAAGATTCTGAGGTCTGCAGGGTCGCGTTGAGGTCTCCGTGCATTGACCATGAGAATTTGGCAGAGTTGCATAGTTTAGTAACTTCGGGCCAGAACATGTGTTCGTCATCATCATTGTTACCGGGATTCCAGGGTGCGTAAACGCCCAGGAGTCGATGGGTAAAACCTCGGTTATTTTGAGTAGGTATGGTGAGGTCAAGGGCAACAGCGCGGCCCCGTAATGCATCTGGGAGCGACACATTCTGGGTGTTGAAGCTTCCTCGTCGAATACCCATGATGACACCCCATTTACCTCTGCTTCTTGTGTTTAGGCTACGGCCTGGGTTTTCGTAAATGTCGTAGTTGTCCAGGCTGAGACGTGAGGCAACAGGTTCAGAGCTCTTGGTTTCGCCGATCACAAATGCGTGCGGGTGGGCTAAACGGACAGTGTTACGGATCGCCGATA